CAATTATCAAGCAATTATTATGTGCCAGGCCCTGAGTGAGACTCCAGCAATGAACAAGCATGGTCCCTGCCAGGATGGGATTGCTTGAGAGAGAAAACAGAAGGGGAGTGTTCATTGTGGACCAGAGACAGCTCCAGAGCAAGGCAGAGTTAAATGTAAGCTGAAGTCATGGGTATACAGAAAGTCTAGAAAAAACAACAACAAAGAACTTGGACAAGAGAAGCCAGAAGATGAAACAGATGAAAAAAAAAAACACATGGCATACGTTTCACTAAGAAACAGAGATGTAGCCTCGGCATCCCACTGTCCTACAAGACCTGGAATGCATTTCGTGTCTTGTCCTTGGAGATCTGTGATATTCTTCACCACAGTCCTCTAAATAAGTCACCTTTATGCTCAAATGACCTTGAGTGGCTTTGTCTCTTTTCAGCTAAACATGCTTCTGTGCCCTTGTACACACACTGAGAAGAACATAACCTATGTGGGAAACATGGTCAGAAACACAGTCGCTCATTCAATCAGTCAACAAATCTTCATTCATTACCCATAATGTGGCGAGCTCTGTACACTCAGTGGGAACCAAAGATGACTAAGCCCCTCTCCCAAGGACCTCGTGGTCTCAGAGGTCATCATGTTAGCTAAAGACTAGAATTCAAATCATGAGTCCTATAAAAGAGGTTTGTGCTTGAGACACTGCAGAGGTGCATTTTAACCCCCTCGGGAGTCAGGAACAACTTCACAGAGAAGTAACCCTGTCGACTCACACAAAGAAGTGTGAGGAAGAGCCACGTAGGTAAACAGGCAAAACACACAGCAGGTGCCCAGGAAGTATATTTGAATAAAGACAACTGGTCAGACAGGACTGGGTGATGTGATAGAAATGGTGAAGAAAGGGCTGAGGTGGGAAACAGGGCATTGAGAAGAGACAAAAGAACAGGACAGACCTTCGATGGCCTTGGTTTTGTTAAGAAGCATTACTCTTTTTCAAGCTCCAATTGTGCTGTGGCTCACGTATTCCATATATTTTCTTATTTGAGCCTCCTAGAAATTCATCGAGGTAAAAAATATTCCTTTTCAATAGTTTTGAGGATGAGAAAAGTAAGGTTCAGAGTAGTTTGGTAACTTGCTCATAGCCTGCCAGGAGCAGTGTGGCACAGCAAAGACTCAGGTGTGGTCCTATGTCCTTTCCTTTGCGTCCCATCCCCACCATGGCTGGAGTGCAGTGGTTTAAGCAGGGTGCATGATGATTTGCACATATGCAGGTGGCAGAGAGGGTGAGTCTGGGAGAAGAGCTGAGAATGGAAGCTAGTTCAAAAGACAATGTGAGAAAATCGGGTAAGAGTTGACCCGTTCCTGAATTAAGGGGATGGCATGCGCCTGAGGAGGCAGCAAAGGGCAAATTGAAAATCTATCCATGGGCCATGGAGTCTAAGGCAAACAGGCAAATGAGGCCATGATAGAAAGTGAAAAGTTGGCCACATCAAAGGATAGGAAGGAACATACATGGGACCTTTGAATTATTGATCCAAGTCTACCTTTCATTTCTAGACAAGATCAATTCTTCTCCGTCTTGGACTCAGCCCACTCACTACCCAACTAAAGGGGGAATGGGATGTCCCCAGAGGTTCTATCTTCTTGGTAAAACCCACTCTGTGACATAAAGACTCCTAACTCTGGGAAACGAACTAGGGGTGGTGGAAGGGGAGGAGGGCGGGGGTGGGGTGGGGTGAATGGGTGACGGGCAGTGAGGGGGGCACTTGACGGGATGAGCACTGGGTGTTATTCTGTATGTTGGCAAATTGAACACCAATAAAAAATAAATTTATTATTAAAAAACCCCACTCTGTGCCACTGACAGTTTCTTTTATCATTTTAAGCTGCCTAAGAGACCAGCCTCCCAAATGTACCCTACATCCCTGTTAAACCTCAGCCCTTATCCTATCTCAGATTCTCACTCTAGACACTGTACATCCCCTGATCCAACCTCTTCTCTTCAGGTAACTTCCAAAGTGCTCTCTCAGTCCCATGATCAGTCTTCAGCAAGAACCTCTATAATCTCAATCTCTTCTCGAGAGTCCACTTCATCTTTTTGTATTAACCACAGCCCAGCAGATGCTGAAGACAGGGGATCCTGAGCAACATTCCCTAGGGGTGACCCACTGCTTTCCCACACCTCTCACCACTGGGCAAAGGAGTGATAAAACTCACAGCTATGCTGACCAGTCCCATGTTATAATTATGACCATGGGTATCAAATGGGCCTGCAGGGCTGCCCAACAATCCACAACATCGATCTTGTAGTTGAAACACCTAACTCCCAGTCTTCTGGAACCATCTCCTACATTCTTTCAACAATTCCTTCTCCTCCCTTTTAGCCAAGGACTCCAATTCTTGGCAAATAAGGAATTGGATCAATCACAAGAGGACAACCACATCCTCCCACCACATCTGCATCCTACTGCATGGTGTCCTGTGCACTTGAATGCCTCCTGCTACAAAGGATGGGATGTTTATGCCTCTATGTAAGACTCACTCCTCCATGGAACATCAGCCTCTCCTGCCCACCTAACTGCCCTTGCAATTGCCTCCTGTTGCTCCTGCATCATTCTCTCCCTCTCTTCTGAATCATTTCAATCAACTTGCCAAGATTCGAGTATCTTCTATCTTGAAAACAAAAACTCCACCACTCTTGACCTTCCACCAGCTATCACCCATTTTTTTGTTTGCTTTTACAGCAAAAACTTTAGAGAACTGTCTCTACTCCTCTGATTCCTCACTTTGCTTTCTCTCTTGAACCTTCTATACTCGTCATGTCACAGAAACCACTCTTATCCAGATTGCTAGTTACCTCCATGTTACCAGATTGAAGGTCCATTCTCTGACTGCTCCACAGCATACAACATAGTTGTCTGCTCCTTCTTTGGTGAAACACTTGCTTCATAAGGTCTTGTGATTTGACTTTGGTTCTTTTCATACCTTTCTTCCTGGTCTCAGCCTCCTCTATTGGATCCTCCTCTTCTTCTCCACTTCTGAATATTGATATGCTGCACAACTCAACCCTACATCTGCTTTACCACTACTCAAATGATCTCATCTCACTCTTTCCCACGGTATTAAATACCAACTACACATGTGTATATATTTGTATGCCAAATGATATCTCCAATCATGACCTTTCTCTTGAAATCTTAGTGTTTATATCCAACTGCCTGTTAGATATCTCCTCTTGGATGTCTAATAGGAACGTCAAATTCAATGTGTCTAAAACCAAGCTCTTGATTTGCTTCTTTCAGATTGGCACTTCCCCCAGCATTGTCCCTCTCAGTAAATGGAATCACTCACTGTTCATCTGGCTCCTCATGCCAAAAATCTTGCAGTTAATCTTGATTCCTTTCTTCTAATTTATTAGCTAATCCTATAGGTTCTACCATCAAAATATATCCTGCATCTGCCAACTTCTCACTGCCTCTGTACAGCCAGCTTTGTCTGAGCAAGCCACCATTATTTCCTTCCTTGACCGCTGCAATAGTTGCTGCATCGGTCTCCATGACCCCTCTTTCTCCTCTCTTCCCTAATCAATAATGCCCTCATGATCTTAACATCCTTTATTGATCTCTGTCTCAGGCAATATACCACCAGGGGGGAGATAAAATTTTCTCTGTAGGCTCATCTCCCACTTCACCCCTCTTTTGACTGCATTCCAGCTACATGACACAATGTTTCTGGATCCTAACATGTATTACCCCACACACACACTTCAGGGCAACTGTATCTGCTCTCACTCAATATACTCATATGGCTCCTTCCTTCCCTTCATTCAGATCTCTCCTTAAATGGTATTTCTTCAAAAAGGTCTTCCCCAAAGTTCTATGTCCCATCATTCTCTTTCCTTTACCCTGGCTCCATTTCTTCATATCATCAATCCCACCTGACATTATATATTTAATTAATTATGTCTCCATTACAAGAATTTAAACTTCATGAGGGCAGAGACTTTGTATGTTTTGTTCATTCTGGGGTTCTCAGTACCCCGAGCAGTGCCTGACACATAATAGGTGTTTGATAAATATCTACTGAATGAGTAAATAAATGAACAAAACTTCCTTCAAACTTTGGGTGTGATAAAAGCAGCATACAGTACAAGACTGACCACCACTCACCACCCTAACACCACCCTATTTAGAATAAAATAATCCAGCATTCTCAAGTATTGTCACTGGTCTTCCCTTCCCCAAAAACAACTTGAACTTTCCTAGAAATCTCCTAGATGTAGGTAGAGAAGATGGGATGGAGGTTATAATGATTAATGTTATAGTAACTATTGATCATTTTCCAACATGCATGAGAACATATCACTCCTCTGATTAGAACTCTCTGGTTGTTTTTCATTGTATTTTGACATTAAAATTCCATATCATGGCCATGTGACCTGGTTCCAGTCTACATCTGAACCCCTGTTCACCTTACCACAGTCACAGCAGTCTTCTCTGTGTTCTAAGGCACCAATCTGGTTCCTGCCCCAGAGCCTTAGCACTTACCTGTTCTCACGTCTGAATACTCTTCCTTCAGGTCATTCAGATGTCAGCCTCAAAGTCTAAATCCAAAGTGCCCTCCCTGGACCAATCTGGCTAATATTAGCTGCTCCCTTCTCTCACCCCAGGAAATCTGTACCTTCTGACTCTGTCCTTTCTTTATATCTTTATCTAAAAGGACTTTGCTTTTACTTGTTTGATATCCTCACCTCTCACCGGAATGTAACCTCTGCAGAATAAGGACTTTGTCTACCCTTCACAATAGGCTGTTGGCTAGTGACTGCCCCAGAGTAGAAGCTACACGATTATTTGTTATGCAGTGAAGACCTGGGCCCCTCGTAGAGTTGATTGTGCTTTCCCACGTCCAGCAGTCAGGCCTGGCTGCCTCAGAGCCAGTTCCAACTCCAGCCTCCCTTTGGCTTCCCTCTGCCTGTCTCCCCCCCTCTCCCAGTGCTTCTCGGCTGTTACCTTGATGGCGCCCGTGGCTATCTGGATATGGTGCAGCCGCCTCAGTGTGCTCTCTCTGTCGATGAAGTAGGAGGCTGCCAGCTGGTGCAGGGTCTCCAGGGACACAGCAGAGCTGTTTCCACTGCCCCCGACCACAGGCACACTTCCTGCTGTCTCTGTCTTGCGGCTCAGTTTTCGCTTGTCCACAAAAATGGTCAGAGACTCCTCTCCTATCACGAACAACACAGGTTCATTGGTGAGGCCTTTCGCTCCTTAGTCCCCTACCAATTAGAACACGAAACCCTTGGCTAGAATAGTCGGGAGTTCAGAAGGAGTGCGTTGGCCTTGCAGACGACCTCTTACCCATCACTGTCTTTAGAATGGTCTCCTCAGACAGTACACGAGGTAAGAGGCATCACCGCTCCAGAGGCCCTCCTCCCTTTCCCTTCATTCTTTAACTATTCCATAGCTCATTCCCTCCCCTCCAGCTTATCCATTTAACATCCTTTACTGATCTCCCTCTCAGGCAATCTACCTCCATGGGGGAGATAAAATTTTCTCTCTCAAGTTGTTTATAAGAAGTCACCATGGATATTTCTGCTCCCTCAGAAAGGGCAAAAGCCTTGAAGTTCAACCTGCCTCCTCCCCATCAAACACTCAACACCTACCACATGCTGACAGCTGGCCTGAACCCTTGGAGAGATCCTTTTGGTCCATCAGTGAGCTAAATGTTATAATAAATCCTGCTTTCTGGGATGCCCGGGTTGCTCAGTGCTTGAGCGTCCACCTTCGGCCCAGGGCGTGATCCTGGAGTCCCGGGAGTCCCATGTCGTCGGGCTCCCTGCATGGAGCCTGCTTCTCCCTCTGCCTGTGTCTCTGCCTCTCTCTCTCTCTCTGTGTGTCTCTCATGAATAAATAAATAAAATCTTTAAAAAAAAAAATCCTGCTTTCTTCTTCCCAGGGCAGAGAGAACTCTGCCTCTTCAGAGCTTTTGATTTGGCCACAGGTTGCACTATCCCCACTCCCAAGCCAGCCCAGAAGCATTGGAATTTGTTTGGCCAGTTACCAATCTTCAGGGAGGCAAGTAGGGATCAGGGACTCAATGGACATTTACTTCTTTGCCTCTGGGTCTGATAACTAGAGCCACAGCAAACATTAGATGTGGAGAAGCGGCTGGGTTAGAAGGCTCTGTTAAAAGAAAACTGGGAGCGCCCCCTGCTGGCAAGTAGTTAGTAGGAGCCTGTCAGCCCCCAACCTCCTTACCCCACACCCCCTCCTCAGGAGGATGCTTATAAGCAAATAGCAATGTTCTGGGGGTGAATCTGGTTATCAAGAGATCATACCGTTCTCAAAGGCACCGGAAAGAAAACGTTTCTCAGGCAATAACAGGCCAGGAAGAACCAAAACCCAGGAAGGCTCAAGCTATACTCAATGGGTCTTAAATCTATTTTCTATTATCTGGCAGCCAGTTAGTGTAGGATCATGATGTTGCTTACCTCCAAGGGTGGCAGAAAGTAAGAAATGAGTGCCGTACTTTTTGATCAGGTTTTCGGTAACCTGTTGTAGGTTGGGTCTCCTTCCGAGGAGGCGAATGTTCCGGATAAATTCTGGGGCAAGAGGCAATGGCAAACTGAAGAAGTCCTTCCTTTCCAGAGCCAAGTTGTTTACTTTCCAACGGGCAAACTCCCTGGAGGAGAGATCAAGGGATAAAGAAAAACTCAATGTATTTAAGAAGAAGAAACATAAATTCTGAAGTAGGTAATGCTCTTTCTCCACTTGCACCATGCTCACTTCCCCTCAACACACACCTCTCCACATAGAGGCCCCCAGTGACAGAAAAAGGTCCTCTGTCCTCCCACCCAGCCTCCCCTTCCCAGGCTGTGAGAAAGACTTCCATCAGAACTTTTTCCACTCAGCTTTCTCACTGGAGAGTAGCTAATCAGCTTATTCATATAAAGTTAGTCATGTAGTATAGTGTAGTATGGGGAGAAATATGCAAACAATGAAAATATGGGAACAGTGGTTTGCAGAGATATGATCTAGTTACAGTTGCTACTCAGTGGATGAGTCACATCACATATCGTGACTTCAGTTACCCATTTGTAAAGTCAAGAGTTTGATCTACAGCAACATTTCTCAAACCTTTTGGTCTCAGGACCCCTTCAAATTTTAAAAAATTATTGAGTCCCCCATATTGATGTGGCTTATGGCTATTGAGGATTACCACTTTAAAAATTAAAACTGAAAAAACTGAAATTTGTTATTTTATTTAAAGATAACAGCAGTATATTACATATAACATCAATAACAGATTTTTATTACAATAACCATATGTCCTAAAACAAAACCAATGTAGCAAGAAGAGTGGTATCACTTTGCATTTTTACAAGTCTCTTCAATATTTGACTAGTAGAAGAGAGCTATACTGTCATACTTGTTTCTGCATTCAATCTGTTGTGATAATTGTGGATATTTGTTGTTCACTCAACAAATGTCATTCCTTAAAGGTAACTTACAGCATGGAATTTAAAACTAAATCAATGCATCTTTATAACTCTGCTACATTAAAATCCAGTGTTCTATACTGTACTTTGAATGCATCCTCTTACGCTTCATGATTTTGAAACATCATGCACTGGTCATCTAAAAAATATGAGATCACTAAATTATTCAGATCTTCCACATTGTGATACTTTTTATTATATAATATCAAAACACCATATTTGTTAATATCACAAATCTCATGAGTAAAGTTGTTAAATATTAGAGCTGCTACCAAGCTCATGATGACAAATATGAGTTTTCCAAAATTCTAATTTTCATTTGAAAGCTTAAATTTTATCATTGGCAACAAATACTGTTAGTCATTTTCCTTGAAGAGGTAGGTTTATTTCATTTCCTTTTTTTTAAGAAAATGTTTGCCAGATACTAAAGTATAAATAACAATAGTTTGTCTGTTGGTTGTTCTTTCAAGAAAAATTCAGTTCCAATGAAAAAGCAGCTACTTCAGTTCACAGTTCAATCACAAAAGCATTTTTCCCTGAGACAATCATTCTTCAATAGCCTCAGATGTGCTTTAGGTGTATTTTCCAATTCATCATACGAAATATTAAAAAGACATGTACTCAAGGGTCAGGATCCAATAAAATTAATAAAGTTGACTACTTCAAGGACATTCTTATAAGAATCTAGCATGTGCGTGTGTGTGTGTGTGTTTAGGTGCACGTATGTAATGATAAGGAATACATGACTACTGGTGTCATTTGGTGAGACTGCCTTAATTCAAATTAAGATGATTTATTTTCACACCATTAGTGTAGATGTCAACATGGATATCCCAAAAAGGCCTAAGAGGATCCACCTTTTGAGAAGCCCTATTCCACAAGATGGCAAGAATTCCTTTCTAGTCCCATCTAGACTTTTAATCTTCATGCTTCGTTCTTCACCGAAATGTCTGCATTTTAAAGGGGACACATTTCCAAGAGGAATCTGTCCTGGGATGAAATTTAAAAGACCATGTCCATTAGTAAGAAAAGATTCTTCCGTGGTCTTTCACATTATACTCACAAGTGCCAGCTCTGCTGCCTTAGGAAACAACAAAAGGCAAAGTCTTATCTACCTTCTCACCCATCCCAACTGTGTTCTTCACGACAGTACTAAAGCTCGCTCTAACTTTCTCCCCAAATCCATGGACTACAAATTATAGGGCGGTAGAAAAAGAAAAGAATTCCAAAATAAGTGAATAAAAGTCCATGCCCAATTTAAGGCTATAGAATTCTCCCATCTAACTCCAGGGACTAAGAGAGGAGGGGCATGTGCCAAATATTACCAGGGAAACAAAAGAAAAGAGATGACTAATAATTCAAGGTTCCAACAAAGTCTTTTAAAATTCCCATTGTGTGGCTTTATTTATCTAAGCAGGCAAGTTCATAATAATACATTATCATTTATTTCCTTTGTACAGGAAATGTTAAACTTTAATTAAAGTAGAAGGTATTTGTCAAAGTGTTTTCTATCCCAAATCCCACTGCAGCATGAAGAACAATTGCTTGATCCCATGTCTAATTGGCCAAATGACCAATCAAAAGACATAATGTGACTTAATAGACTTTTTTTAAAGACTCAACTATATGCTGCCTATAAGAGATTCACTTCAGCATTAAGGACACCTATACTGAAAATGAAGGGATGGAAAAAAGAAACTTAGGGTAGTTACTGATTTGTATCAGTTAAGGTAGACTTTAAGCCAGACTATAACAAGAGACAAAGAAGGGCATTCTATAAGGACAAAGGGATCAATTCATCAAGAAGATACAACATTTGTAAATATCTATGCACCCAACATAGGAGCACCTAAACATATCAAGCAAATATTAACAGATCTGAAAGGAGAAATAGACCATGCTTCAACAATAGAGGGAGACTTCAATACCTCACTTTCAACAAGGAAGAGACCATCCGAATAGAAAATCAACAAGGGAATATTGGCCTTACACTACATATTAGACCACATGGACATAACAGATATTTGCAGAACATTTCATTCAACAGCAGCTAAAAACACATTCTTCTCAAGCACACATGGAACATTCTTCAGGGTAGATCACAGGTCATAAACAAATTTTAATAATTTAAGAAGACTGAAATCATATCATGCATCTTTTTCAACCACAACTGTATGAAACAGAAATTACAAGAAGTGGAAAATTCACAAATAAGTAGAGATTAAACAACATGCTCCTGTAAAACCAATAGGTCAAAGGAGAAATCAAAAAGAATCTTGAGACAAATGGAAATGGAAACACAAATACCAAAACTTAAGGGATGCAGCAAAAGTGGTTCTAAGTGAGATGTTTACAGTGATAAATGCCTACACTAAGAAAAAGTAAAGATCTTAAATAACGACCTAATTCACACCTCAAGAAAAGGAATAACAAATTAAGCCCAAAATTAGTCGAAGGAAGAAAATAACAATGATCAAAGTGGAAATGAATGGCATAGAGACTAAAGAAACAATAGAAGAGATCAGTGAAAATAAAAGCTGGTTTTTGGAAAAGATTTTTAAAAATACACAAATCATTAGGTAGACTAACCAAGAAAAAAGAAGGAAAGAAAATAAATAAATAAAACTGGTAATGAAAGAAGAGACATTACAACTGATACCACCGACATAGAAAGGAACACAAGAGACTACAATGAATAATTATATACCAATAAATTGGACAAACTATGAGAAATGGTTAAATTCCTAGAAACATATAACCTACCAAGACTGAATCATGAATAAATAGAAAATCTAAACAGACCAACTACTAGAAAGAAGATTGAATCAGTAATTAAAAAAAAAAAAAACAAAACCTCCTAATAAACAGAAATCCAGAATCAGATGGTTTCACTGGTGAATCCTATCAGACATTAAAGGAGAATTTTTACCAATGATTCCCAAATATTTCCAAAAATCAGGAGAGGAGGAAAACTTCCAAACTTATTTTATGAGGCCAGTGTTACCCTGATACCAAAACCAGACAAGGACACTATAAGAAAAGAAAATTATAGGCCAGTATCCCTGATAAACATACATGCAAAAATCCCCAACAAAATATTGGCAAACTGAATTCAGCAGTACATGAAAAGAATTATATACTATAATCAGTCAGATTTATTCCAGGAATGAAAGGATGGTTCAACATTTGCAAATCAATCAATGTGATACACCACACTAATAAAACTGAATATACAAATGATATGATCATCTCAATAGATGTAGGAAAAGCATTTGACAAAATTCAGCATTGATTTATGATTTTAAAAAAACCCTCAATAAAAAATGTATAGAGGGTATACCTCAACATAATACATACCATATATGACAAGACTGGAGCTAACATTATACTCAATGGTGAAAAGCTGCAAGCTTTTTCTCTAAGGTTGGAACAAGACAAGGTTGCCCACTCCTGCCAATATTCAACATAGTACAAGCAGTCCTAGCCAGAGCAATTACTCAAGAAAAAGAATTAAAAGCATCCAACTCAGAAAGAAAGAAGTAAAATTGTCAATTTGCAAATGACATGGTTTTATATATAGAAAACCCTAAAGACTCCACCAAAAAAAACAACCAACCATGTTAGAATAAAAAAAAAAATCTAGCAATGTTGCAAGATACAAAATCAGTACATAAAAATCAGTTGCATTTCTATAAACTAATAACAAAAAACCAGAAAGAGAAATTAAGAAAATAATCCCATTTAAAATACATCAAAAAGAATAAAATATCTAGGAATAAATTTAACCATGAATATAAAAGGTCTCTACACTGAAAACTGATACATTGATGAAAGAAATCGAAGAAGACACAAATAAATGGAAAGATAGTCTATGCTCATGGAGTGGAAGAAGCAATATTGTAATATCCATACTATTCAAAGCAATCTACAGATCCATTGTAATCTCTATAAAACTTCCCATGGCATTTTCCATAAAATAGAGAAAACAGGGGCAGCCCCAGTGGCGCAGTGGTTTAGCGCCACCTGCAGCCTGGGGTGTGATCCTGGAGACCCAGGATTGAGTCCCACATCGGGCTCCCTGCATGGAGCCTGCTTCTCCCTCTGCCTGTGTCTCTGCCTCTCTCTTCGCTCTCTCTGAATGAATGAATAAATAAATCTTTAAAAAAAAAAAGAAAAAGAAAAA